ATCCCATCCCTGTGCTGGGTGATCCCATCCCTGTGCTGGGTGATCCCATCAAAAAACTCAAAGATAATATTTGATAGGATTGAAGGTGTTTACTGGGAATCCTGCCTGTGGCAGGAGATTGGAATGAGCTTTTCTTTAAGGTCCCTTTCCAACCCTAAGCAGTTTGTAATTTGGGATTGGATTTGCTGAGGATTTGGGTGTTGGTTGGCGAGTTGCCTGTTTAAATAAACCAGCAGAAATATTTCCCTGGAAATGAAGGAATAGCAATTTTTTATTATTAATTGCTGTTGTCACCCTTCTGTGAAAAACTTGCTTGGAATTTTTTTTTTTGGTCCAGTCCTCCCTAAAATGCCAGGAAGTAGCTGAGAGTGGTGAATGATTTGGTGCTGCCTCTGCCCACGCTCGTCTTCCTACTGCCAGAAATGAAACTTTCCCTTCTCAGAGGTGCAGGCCTTGTCACCAAGTGAGTTCCTGTTTTTCAACCTTTCAGATTTCCCCTTTTTTTTTCAGGCACTTGAGAGACACTTAAGCTTTCATTTCCCCCCCCCAGTCTGAGCTGTGCAGCTCCATCTGAGCTGGTAACATGAGGCTGGGCTGCTTTGTGTCTGACTGTTGTCACTTAAATCTGGCCCCTCGGGATTGTTTTAAGAACCATCTGTAAAAATGACTGATAACTGTATTTCTGGGGGAGAATAATGCCTTTTTTTCCATGGATAACTCCACTTCCTTTCAGCTGCACTGGCCATGAATTACAGCCCCTTCCATTGTTCATGAGGAGCTGCAGAGGTTTGGGTTGCTCCCAAAACCCAGGAGGAAAACCAAACAAAACCTCATGTCTTTCTATCCAAGGTATTTTTTCCTCTCTGCCTGGAGTTTTATCAAGCATATTTGTTTAAAATTAAGGGATTTTCCTTTTTTTTTTTTTTTTTCATTATTGCTGTGCTGCCTTTGGTTTTGGAGAAGGATGGGGGCAAGAACAGAGGGGGCAAGAACAGAAACAGCAGTCATTCAGTTTTGGAGGAGGATTGGGGCAAGAACAGAAACAGCAAGAACAGAAACAGCAGTCATTCAGTTTTAGAGGACTGGGGCAAGAACAGATAGCAGCCATTCAGTTTTGGAGAAGGATTGGGGCAAGAACAGACAGTATTTGAGAGCCACACTGGAAAAAATGAGCTGGTTTTTGCTGTCTGTGAACCCTCCTCTCAGACCTGGCTGTTCCAGACGTATTTTGTGTTACAGGAGTGATCATAATTATTTTTAACAAGACCCAAAACTCCCCCCCCCCCGATCTGTCACTTTATGCTTTTCATGTTCACTTCCTCCTTTGCCTTTTTTCTTCTTTGTGGGTTTCTCCCCAGCCTGTGACGAGTTTCTGTTGCTGTGGCTACCCCAGATCCTTTATCTCCTGCTTTTTTTCTCTTCACATCCTCCCCTGCTTCGGAGGAGCCTCTCAGTGACTCAGGTTTGCCATCAGAAAGGTCAGGGACAGACACCCAGGCAGCTGCTGAAGATGGGAAGGGAACACAAAGCCTGGTTGGGGGGTTTTGCCTCTGTCTGGGTTGGTTTCCCTCTGAGAATTCAGGTTTTTTACTCCCTGGGGTCACTTTTGAAGCCCAGAGAGGTGACTCCTTGCACAGGTGACCTTCCTTGGAAAGGATCTGGCAGTGCTTGGAAAGACCTGAGGGTTTGGGGTGAGGATTTAACTCATTTTATGATTTCTGCCACGTTGTTTGCCTCACCTGGGCCAGGTGAGATCCTCCCTGTGGGACAAAAAGGGCAGGAATTAGGCACTGCAAGACCTCAAGGTCTGGTAGTCCCAGTCCTGTCGCTGCAAATGCTCCAGGTTGGCAAAAAAGCAGAACTTCTAGGAAAAAGGGGAAAAAAAAAAAGGAAGGAACACAGCAATTTTATCTCCTGATTTCAGGCAGCAGATAAATTATTTGCCCTCCAGCTTTTTTTCCATCCCAGTCTTTGGGCAGCACTGGGTGAGCTGTGACTGCTGGGGGGTGTCTTGGGGGTGTCCCGGGGGTGTCCTGCTGTCCCTGTGCCACCCTCACCATGCCCCCACTGCAGGGCTGAGCTGCACCCCGGGCTCTGCCCATCCCTCCAGGCTCTCTGCAGCCCAGCAGAGCTTCTGCTTTACCCCAGGCTCACAGAATTCATTCCCTGAGGTGGGAAAGCACCTCCAGGATCATTAATTCCAGACTTTGACCTGTCCCCACCTCATCCCCCAGCCCAGAGCACTCAGTGCCATGTCCAGCCCTTCCTTGGACATCTCCAGGGCTGGGGACTCCAAACCTCCCTGGGCAGCATCTTCCAATGTTTAACAACCTTTTCCATGAGGAAATTCCTCCTGATGTCCAACCTGACCCTCCCCTGGCACAGCTGGAGGCCGTTCCCTCTCCTCCTGTCCTTTGTTCCCTGGGAGCAGAGCCCGACCCCTCCAGCTCTTCCCTCGTGTCAGGGAGTTGTGGAGAGCAACAAGATCCTTCCTGAGCCTCCTTTTCTCCAGGCTGAGCCCCCCCAGCTCCCTCAGCTGCTCCTCCCAGGACTCATTTTCCAGCCCCTTCTCCAATTCCACTGCTTTAAACTCCCTGCAGTGCCAAACCCCTCCATCTCCCCTGAGTACCATCTCTTGGTGCTGTCCCAGCAAAGGGCTCAAACCCTGACAGACAATTGTTCTCCAAGAGCACAAACCAGTTCCCCCCTCAACAGGACATGAATCCTGCAGGTTCTCGTGGAGTTTTTCCACAGTGGCACGAAAATAATTGATGAGCTGGAGCTTACAAGGCAAATTTGGGCCCAACAAAGCTCGTTAGTCATTCAGCAATTACACAGCTTTCACGTGAACAGCCTCTTACAGGAGAACTGGAGGCTTTCTTTGGTCACCCCTTATGGGTAATCAGCAAAAACTCAGTGTCAGGAAACCAAATATTCTCTCTGGTGACAAAGTTCCCTCACTGCTGACGTGAGGACCAAGCAGTAAAGCTGCTGGAGTGCCAAGAACTAATTTTGGGGTTGAGAAGCGGTTCGTGCTATTTTTTATTTTGGTTTTATTTTGGTTGGTTTTGTTTTTCCCCCCCAAAAAAAAGATTAGTCATTTGGGCAGGTCAGCAGTGGCCAAAAAAGGAACCTGGTTCTTCCTTCAGGTCTCATCCCTGAGCACTCCTTGTTGTGTTCTGGGTGCAGGTCAGAAGGGAGAAGGGATGAGGGGGTCTGGAAGGGCATTTTCCCTGTTCCATCACAAGGTGCATTGATGTTTGAGCCTCAGTTTGCCCTGAGCCAGGTCTGGGATGGACAGGAGGGGCTGGAACAGAGTCCTTTCCCCTGGGGAGGTCGGGGTAGGAAGTGGAGCCCTAATTTTGGGGTCTGAGCAAGGAAGGGGCTGACAGCTGAAATGTCACCTTCCAGCAGGGACAGGTAAGGCTGAAAAACCCCAAAGATTTTGAAGCCAGATAGTCAGGTTACCTCTGAAAGGTCACTGCTGACTCTAGAGCTTTAGACTTGGCTTGAACAACTGTTGTCTGTGATGTGACTGGAAATGTTCCACCATCTCACAGTGTCATTACGACTATAGTGCTTGAACAAGAACGAAAAACACGTACAGGGCAATTTTTGGGGGGAAAAAAAAAACTTAAAAAAACCCCCAAACCCACCCAACGGTCCAAAAGAGAGAGAAAAATAAATAAATGATCTGATAAACACCAGGTGGCAGGTACCAGCTGGGCCAACTGCCTGCACCCCGTTGGGTACCACCTGTGGGCTCAGGGGAGCCCTCAGAGGTCCCTTCTCTGTTCTCTGTGTGACACTGAGCTAAAAAATTCCAATTAATTGGCTGTTTAGGCCGTGCTGGTGGTTGTTGTTTAGTGCTGAGCTCCAAGGGAATGAGCCCTGGCACCATCACCCTGCCTTTGT